ATATCTATCTCTTTCTCTTTATTTTTATCTCTGTCTTTGTTTTTTTTTTGTTTTGTCTCTGTCTCTCTCTGTCTCTGTCTTTGTTTCTGTCTTTTTTTTTCTTGCTTTACCTAACATAAATTTATTTCTGTTTTATTTAATTTTATATTTTTTTTCTTTCTTTCGTCTTTCCTTCCTCCTTGTCTTCCTTTTTGTGTTAATATACACGTAATTGTGCTTATTCACTTATTTATATATAAATATTTATTTATATTTATTTATTTATTTATTCATTTATTTATTTATTTATTTGTTTATATATTTATTTATTTTTTTAGCTTCTTCTTCATTCTTCACGGCGCGTTGCTGCGCTCAGCAGCAAAGCGTTGCAGCGGTGCTGCTATTCTTTGGCTTTGCTGCTGTCTGCTGCAGCAGCAGCAGCAGCAGAAGCAGCAGCAGCACGAACCCTCCCCCAAAAGAGACAAACAGCTGCAGCAACAGACCTGCATATACACCCTGAGGTGTATAGGCAGCTCGATCGTCAAGAAGCAGAAGACAGCCGTCTTTCTTTTTTCATTTCTTCTTTAACTGCTCTCAATGGAGAATGCAAATTCAGGTCAGCTTCTTCTTTTTATTTTTATTTTTTATTTTTTTCTTCTTTTCTTCCTTTTCTTTTTCTTTTCGTTTTATTATTTATCTTTTTCTTTTTCTTTTTCTTTTTGTTTTTTTCTCTTCCTTTTAGTTTTGTTGCTTTTAGTATTTTATTCTTGTTGTTGTTCTTTTCGTTTCTGCTCTGCTTCTTGTTTTTCTTTTTTTTCTCTTTGTTGGCCTTCTTCTTCTCTTCTTTTTTCTTTTGCTGCTGCTGCTCCTGCTGCTCCTGCTGCTGCTGCTCCTGCTGCTGCAGCCACAATGATAATAATAATAATAAAAACAGAGAAAACACCTAAGAACGCCACAAAATATATAATTATAATAAAATAAAAAAAATAATTTTTATAAACGACAACCCCCACAGACTAAACAAAATGAAGGAAGCAGCAGCAACACTGCAGCAAGCAAAGCAGCAGCTAGAGACAATCGGCCACCAGCAGAGCCCCCTGTACCTACACGT